CACGTCCTGTTAGACATTGATTATGCTTTAAGATATCATCTAGAAGAAAATGGGGACATTGAAACAGTTGATAAACTCGATTTAAGGAGAGGTCACTATGGGGAACTTCAAAATTTTTTTAATGAGTGTAATTGGACAGAATTGTTGCTAGGCAGGGAAGTAAATGAAATGTATGTCAAATTTTTAAAAATATACGAGGAAGGCACACAAACATTCATACCAAAACAGAGAGGCAAGGCCAGAAAACAGGATTGGTTCGACAAATTGTGAGAGGGCCAGAGACCAAATGACACAAAAATGGAATCAGTATAGGAAGAGGCCAAACCCCCAAACATACCAGCGATACAAAGATGCGAGAAACAACTATACAGCAGTAAGGAGAGAGGCAGAAAGAAATTTTGAAAAAAGGGATAGCGGATAAATGTAAAACAGAACCGGGCCTATTCTACAAATTCATGAACAACAAATTGCAGGTAAAGGATAATATCCAGAGGTTGAAAATGGGAAACAGATTCACGGAAAATTAAAAGGAAATGTGTGAAACATTAAATGAAAAGTTCCAAAGTGTGTTTGTACAAAATGAAATCTTCAGAGAACCAGACACGATAAGAATTCCAGAGAACAACATAGAGCGGATAGAGGTGTCTAGAGATGAAGTGGAAAATATGCTAAAGCAGCTGGCCCAGATGGAGTTTCACCATGGGTTCTGAGAGAATGTGCATCTGAGCTCAGCATTCCACTTCACCTGATCTTTCAGGCATCCCTGTGTACAGGAATCGTAGCAGACGTGTGGAAACAGGCTAACATAGTTCCAATCTACAAAAGTGGCAGCAGGGAAGACCCCCTCAATTATAGACCTGTATCATTGACAAGTGTAATAGTGAAAGTATTGAAAAAACTAATCAAAACTAAATGGGTAGAACACCTGGAGAGAAATGATATAATATCAGACAGACAGTATGGTTTTCGAGCTGGAAGATCCTGTGTATCAAATTTACTCAGTGTCTATGATCGAGCCACAGAGATATTACAGGAAAGAGATGGTTGGGTTGACTGCATCTATCTGGACCTAAAAAAAGCTTTCGACAGAGTTCCACATAAGAGGTTGTTCTGGAAACTGGAAAATATTGGAGGGGTGACGGGTAAGCTTCTAACATGGATGAAAAATTTTCTGACTGATAGAAAAATGAGGGCAGTAATCAGAGGCAATGTATCAAAATGGAGAAATGTCACAAGTGGAGTACCACAGGGTTCAGTTCTTGCACCAGTGATGTTTATTGTGTACATAAATGATCTACCAGTTGGTATACAGAATTATATGAACATGTTTGCTGATGATGCTAAGATAATAGGAAGGATAAGAAATTTAGATGATTATCATGCCCTTCAAGAAGACCTGGACAAAATAAGTATATGGAGCACCACTTGGCAAATGGAATTTAATGTTAATAAATGTCATGTTATGGAATGTGGAATAGGAGAACATAGACCCCACACAACCTATATATTATGTGAGAAATCTTTAAAGAATTCTGATAAAGAAAGAGATCTAGGGGTGGTTCTAGATAGAAAACTATCACCTGAGGACCACATAAAGAATATTGTGCAAGGAGCCTATGCTATGCTTTCTAACTTCAGAATTTGCTTTTAAATACATGGATGGCGATATACTAAAAAAATTGTTCATGACTTTTGTTAGGCCAAAGCTAGAATATGCAGCTGTTGTGTGGTGCCCATATCTTAAGAAGCACATCAACAAACTGGAAAAGGTGCAAAGACATGCTACTAAGTGGCTCCCAGAACTGAAGGGCAAGAGCTACGAGGAGAGGTTAGAAGCATTAAATATGCCAAAACTAGAAGACAGAAGAAAAAGAGGTGATATGATCACTACGTACAAAATAGTAACAGGAATTGATAAAATCGACAGGGAAGACTTCCTGAGACCTGGAACTTCAAGAACAAGAGGTCATAGATTTAAACTAGCTAAACACAGATGCCGAAGAAATATAAGAAAATTCACCTTCGCAAATAGAGTGGTAGACGGTTGGAACAAGTTAAGTGAGAAGGTGGTGGCCAAGACCGTCAGTAGTTTCAAAACGTTATATGACAAAGAGTGCTGGGAAGACGGGACACCACGAGCGTAGCTCTCATCCTGTAACCACACTTAGGTAATTACACTTAGGTAATTACATGATGGTTGTCTTGCCTTCCAGTAGATGTAGATGTTGGTTGTATTGTCTTCAACTATTCGTACAAGTCGCTCGTATTGCTTTCCAGTGTTCGTACATGTTGGTTGTACAGTATTGCCTTCCTTTGTTCATACATGTCGCTTGTATTGCCTTTCAGTGTTTGTACATGTAGCTTGTACAGTTTATCCACACTTGAACAAACCATATGGGGCGAGGCCGATTCGTTCCATTGTGGAATTCATTCTACCCGTCAGCTGTTGCTGTTCCTCCCCTCCATGTGAAAAGAACAGAGGTCCTACATCCACTATCAACTAAATCAGAATCACAGAAAACCTATTTATGTATTAATCATTTTGAACATGTCACGTGATAGAACAATCATTGGTGAACAATTCCATATCAAAATCATAACTATGTGACTATTATTGGTGGCCACAAATATGATGTAATGGCCAAGATTTTCATGAGCCAACTGTATCAGTCTTGGTATAAAAATTCAGAACAAATTCATTTTATTATGAATTATTTATTTTCACTATGGGATTTGATAGAACAATCACTTACAAACAATTTGGTATAAAAATACTACATATATGAGCATTACTGAATCCAATCAAGCAATATCACATCATATTCTCAACAAACTGATGGGAGGAGGAGGCAGATGGTGAGCCTCTGGTGGTCAGGGGAGGGGGGTTGTGGACGGCCACTGGTAATCAGGTGCAGGGGAGGGGGTGGTTATAGCCTGTCAGCAGTAGAGAAGGGGGGGTGTGGCAGCCAGACTGGCAGGCCGCGGGCCAGACCAGGCCTCAGGCCAGACCTCAGACCAGGCTTTGGGCCAGGACCAGACTAAACCTCAGACCAGGGCAGACCTCAGACCAGGCTTTGGGCCAGGGCCAGACCAAACCTCAGACCAGGGTAGACCTCAGACCAGGCTTTAGGCCAGACCAGGCCTGACCTCAGACCAGGCTTTGGGCCAGGGCCAGACAAACCTCAGACCAGGGTAGACCTCAGACCAGGCTTTAGGCCAGACCAGGCCTGACCTCAGACCAGGCTTTGGGCTAGACCAGGCCTCAGGCCAGACATCAAAACAGGCCTTGGGGTCAGACCAGGCTTCAGGCCAGACCAGGCCTCAGGCCAGACCTCAGAACAGGCCTGACCTCAGACCAGATCTCAGGCCAATCCTCAGATCAGGCCTCAGACCAGGCCTCAGACCAGACCTCAGATCATGCCTCAGGCCAGGTCTAAGGCCAGCCTTGACCAGGCCAGACTAGGTTTGACCAGGCCAGATCAGGCCAGATCAGGCATCAGGCCAAACCAGGTCTCAGGCCAGGCCAGGTTAGATCATGCCTCAGGCCAGGCATACACTGCTAGTTTGAGTTTGTATGTGCCCACCCGTTCCTAGCTTCTTGACAGGCTTCAGTATCATGGAATACAGATTGTTTCATATCAACAATTACATACTCAGATACATCCAGCAAATGAGAAAATTATACAAAGTTTATTAATATGAATAAGGAATACACAAAGTAATGTATATACAAGTACATACGGTACATTATTAATGAGTACAAATGGTGTACAGGCAGGGAGGGAGAGGCTGGGAGGTAGGCAGAATGCTGCGTAGAGGCTTGCTGCCTTCACCCCACTAATACATCCCCTCACCACTGACAACACTATTTATTATGAATTCTTCATTTTGACTAAGGAATATGATAGAGCAATGTGTTACAAGCAACTGATATAATAAGTTGCCTTCAAGTGTTCGTACATGTCGGTTATATTGCCTTCAAGTGTTCGTACATGTCGGTTATATTGCCTTCAAATGTTCATACATGTCAGTTGTATTGCCTTCAAATGTTCGTACATGTCGCTTGTATTGCTTTCAAGTGTTCGTACCGTGGACATCTTCAAGAGGAAACTAGATTTATTCCTCCAAGGAGTGCCGGACCAACCGGGCTGTGGTGGGTATGTGGGCCTGCGGGCCGCTCCAAGCAACAGCCTAGTGGACCAAACTCTCACAAGTCAAGCCTGGCCTTGGGCCGGGTTTGGGGAGTAGAAGAACTCCCAGAACCCCATCAAGCAGGTATATGTGGGCCTGCGGGCCGCTCCAAGCAACAACCTGGTGGACCAAACTCTCACAAGTCAAGCCTGGCCTCGGGCCAGGCTTGGGGAGTAGAAGAACTCCCAGAACCCCATCAACCTGGTATATGTGGGCCTGCGGGCTGCTCCAAGCAACAGCCTGGTGGACCAAACTCTCACAAGTCAAGCCTGGCCTCGGGCCGGGTTTGGGGAGTAGAGGAACTCCCAGAACCCCATCAAGCAGGTACATGTTGGAGGTAATACTGTTGGCTGTGGCAGCAGTAATAATATGTTATTGTTGAAGTATAATGCTTTCCCATTGTAAGTACAGGAAGCCAGTTAGACCTATCAAGGTCTCTCTGGTCCATGTTCTGATGTATCCTGTGGGGTATTGTGGGCTACAACCTCCCATGTAGCTATTGACTGCTAGGTGTACAGACACATCAGGTGAAAGGATAACTTGCCATTTCTGTCCAGTTTGGGGATACAGTATAACCCTTGTTCCTCAGTTTAAGTGAAGGGTGTTATTGCTGTGCTACAGGACCCATATGTGCTAGTAAATAAGCATTGATGTCGTCATTAGCTCAGCCTTTCACGATATTCCAAGTGGCAGGCATTACCCTGAGTTCATTTACAAATTTGTCATGCCCCACTTTCCATTCAGGTGTTATCCTGAGTTTAGTATAATTTTCCACACCTAAGACAAACTCATTTTCATCTTCTGAACAGATGCTACCCTGGGTACTTCTTTGCGGGCAACATTAGCCAGCCGACACTGACAGTGGAGTGTCTGGGTCAAGTAGGTGGGTGGTGCCCTCGGACCTTCAATGCCTGCCTTGCTGTAGAAGGTGAGTCAAGCATGAGTCACGGTAAATATCCACTGATTTACTAGTTTTTCTCAGATCAGGATAATTGAATTGTCAATGAGCTTATATTATGAGTCAGTCACTGCTTACTTATTAGCATCCTTCATATTTTAGGCGACTCTAATATTCACCAATGTGTAAAAGATAAGTCTTTCTTATCAGCTGATAGACATGCCTGTATTTGAGTGCATTTGCAACTTTAAAGCAATGTATCTATGTCCAGGTAATTTTCTTCATGAGCTTATTTCTGATGAGAGTTGGAGCAGAAAGGGTATGATGTACTACACATTTCTCCTGAATTTTCTGTTTTAATTTTTGACTATTAACTATTATAATTAGCTTGACAATCAAGTTAATTTTGATATTGTAATAATTCTCAACAGTATGTATGGATGTGCCCATGGCACCCTCGCCTCTCATCACCAACAGTACTTCGCCTAACTGGCGCTTTCTGAATGGCACGGTAAACTTCACCTGCCCCGCCCTCATGGCTACTCAGAAGAACATGACGGTTCAGACGCTGACATGCAGCTACAATGGAAACTACTCCTTCGTGAATGCCACAGTTGACCCGTGCAATGGTAAAACATTATTGGCTACCTGTGAAAGCTTTCAAACATATTGGTATTGCTTTCTAATAATTAAAAATTATAATGCATTATGTTTGGGGCAGGCAGCCAGAATATATACATACAGTATATGTTAGGCTTATATAGAGCAGCCCTTGTAATCCCCTTCCCCCCGGGCCGAATTACTGACCCCACCCAGGATGTTGAAGGCACATCCACAACAATCTGACTAACTCTTGGGTACCTATTTACTACTAGGAGAACAGGAACATTAGGTGATAGGAAACACGTCCAACCACTTCTGTCCCGCCCGGGTTTGGACCCAGAATTCTCGATTGCGAGTCGAGAACGAGCCTGACTGTACTACTGGGACATTTTTCATCATTGTCGTTGGTCATTTTGAGTGATGGTATTTTGTATAGCTATTTAGTGTTGATAAACTATTAGATATAAATATTTTGGCTTTTCTGGTAGGGATATCGAATGGTTTTGTCCAAATTATTTTGTTTTCCAAATTTATTAGTGCTGGTGTAATGATGGCTGAGGGTTTTCTTGTTCTCACTCATGAGATTTCATGAAGGTTTCTGTTTCTTATTTCTTCTGTATTCATTGGGCTGAAGTTCTCTCTAGTTGCTGGTGAGTGTTTTGGGTCCCCAGCTGAGTGCCCATGACATCTGTAATTGAGCCACAGGTTTCCAGGCGAGTGTCCCAGGTCACTGAGTGAGTGTCTTGGATCACTGGGAAAGTGTCCTGGGACCAGATTCACGAAGCAGTTACACAACTACTTACAAACGTGTACATCTGTATTTTCAGCAGCAGTTATTTACCAGAATTTCCAGAGGATGGTTCCAGTTCCCTGAGTAGGTCTTCATGACCCCTGCTCTGTTCTGTTCCAGCTACTTGCAGCTTCCTGGAAGTTCCACATTGTTCTTCACCAAATCTACTGAGTCCAGCCACTCTTTTGGGCTTCTATTTTCCTGGGTAATTCGTTGCAGGTGCATGGAAGATACTGGAGGACCAGGTCCCAAATTTGCACAGTAGAATAACAACATACTGGAGCGAAAGATACGGAAGAAAAATGCAGAATAGAACCAGTGAGGAGTAGAGATGCCATAGGCGTAATCAGAGACTACTGTCTGAATGCCAGGTTTCCACAGCTGTTCAACACCCTCCCAGCAAGCGTTAGAAATATTACTGGAACAAAGGTGAACTTCTTCAAGAACCATTTAGACCTTGCAAGAAGTGCCAGACCAACCAGGCTATAGTGGATATGTGGGCCTACAGGCTGTTCCAAGCAACTACCTGTTGGACCAAGTTATCACAAGTTGAGCCTGGCCTTAGGCTGGGCTTGGGGAGTAGAAGAACAACTCTCAAATCCCTCTCCAGGTATGTTCCAGGCCCACACTTTATGCTCTGAACCAGTTTTTGTGGAATTCTTCTCATTCCTTTATGAGGGGGGCTTCCCCTTTTATTTAGTTATTTCTCACTTGACTTTGTACAGCTGTGCTGGTTCCGGTACCATAGCACCCTAGGCTGCAGTCTCTGCTGATGCTAATACTACGTGTGTCCGGGGCTTTGCCTTTGGGACCAGCTCCTGCAGCCGAGATGGGTGGACACTTGGTGGGGTCCTGCAGTGGAGTCACCATGATCACTTGTCCAGTTGTCAAAGTTTTGTAATGGTAGTTTGGCACTTTTCCAAAACTTTTCTCAAAGGGAGTTTTGGGGTTTTGGGTCCTTTTATTGAATTGGGGCAATTGGCTCAGAATTAGGGTGATTTATAATCCCCCTGGAGGCCTGGTCGAGGACCTCCTCCAGGAGGACCACCACCTCCTGGTCGAGGACTAGGCCGTGGGGATGTTGAGCCCTGAAAGTATTGCAAGGTAACCCATGAACTACCTGTCTTGTAGAGTGAAGTTGCAAGGCCCCAGTAGGTAGTGAGTTCTTATGGATACCTGGTATTGATAATGTGTGGCAAGTAATGCCAGAGTACAAGCTAGAGAGGCCACTGAGTGAGCACAGTAAGGTGCGTTCATTACATACAATACTCTGTTTTTAATATTTTTATCTAGAAATTTTGCTACTGATTATGAAATTTTTTCTGAAGAAGTATATGTACAAATGTTATTAATGCTGCAACTAATGTTGTTCAAAATATAATGTATCCTAAAGCCTATTGTTATATCCAAGTTTTTACAAATTATTAATTATTAAGTGAAACTAAATTGTCAAGATAAATGGCCATGTGTGCATGTTAGGAATACCGTACTGAACTAGTTTACTGTACTGTATATAATTGTGTTACAGTTTGCCTTGGAGAGCCTAAAGTGGGGAATGCAACAACTAACTGGTCCAATAGTACGTTGTGGGCAGTCAACACGACAGTCACTGCTACGTGCCTCACCAACTATATGGCCACCATAAACACAAGCAATCTTACTGTTGCTTGCACAGAAACCGGGTGGCAAACGTCTCCTCCTTGCTACCTGGGTGAGGGTTTCACTGCCTCTAATTTGTAATAATGCTAAATGTAGCAATTTGTTATGTTTGTTCATTTTCTCTTCAAAAATATATGTACGTTATAGCATTTATATGTGTGTTAATGTATCATATGTCCAGTCTAGCTTGTGACCAGTGTAGCTTGTATGCATATGTGAATATGTAATATATATAGTGTAGTATTCCAGAAGCAATGCAACTGATGTACAGGATCCCTTAACCGCTCGACCAACACAACCGGACAAAAGAGGATGGTAGCCGAGGCTATTTCCATCCCCCCGCCGGCACTCGGTTGGTAATCTTGGGCATGGTATTTTATCAAATCACCCCATTCTTTGGGGCACACGTGAGGAACACAAATGCGAACAAGCCATTTGGCTTGTTCGCATTTGTGTTCCTTAGTTGGGGTCGAGACTCGGGCGGTTTTCGGGGGCTGCCCCGTTCGGGTTGGGGACGGAGGTTTTCGAGCCTGTTCCTCCTGCCAAGACTTCTGGGTCTTACCAGTGGCCCTTTCTTGCTGCCTTTCCCGTAGACTCTTCCTTTTCTTTAAGGGTGGAGGGAGGACGGCTCTGCCCCGGGGCCTCTGTTGCAGGTTCCTGGGGCTATGGGGGATGCCTGCTAGCAGTTATGGGGCTGTTTGCCCCTGCCTGGGTTTTCTGCTTCTGGGCAGAGTTTTTCGCACATCCAGTCTGCTTCCTTCCCACTTTTGCTGGCGTGCTTTCGTATCTTTAGCGTCGGTCACAGCCCTCTATTCTGGTGGTCATATTCTTCTGCCGGTTTCCCGGCGTGGCCACCAGGGCGGCGTTGCGGTTTGTTTACATGTGCCTGGGTGTGCGAGCGACCGTCTTGGGTGAGTTTTTCACCTTTTTCAGGGGTTTTATTCTCCTGTTGTTGTTTCTTTGCTTTTCTGGTGTTTTCTGCCTGTTTCCTGTTCCTCTGGGAGCGTTTGAGTGTTATTTTACTCCGGGTTTTCCATTTTGTCTGTTTTGGGTCTGGGCCCTTGGATTTGGGCTCAGTGTCCTTGTCTGTTATGCTTGCTCCCACACCTTGTCCCCTCAGTTTTCGATCTGTTTTGACCGTTTCCCTGGGAGTTCTGTCTGGGGGTTATGCTTTGCCTTTCTGTGGTGTATCTCCGCCGGCAAATGTGGTGGTTTGGGCTTCCCCTGGTTCGATTCCAGGTTCCTTTGGGTTCTTTGGTTTCGTTCCGGAGGTTTCTTCCTCTTGGGCCCCCTTTGTGGGTTCAGGGGGCTTTGTTTCCTCGTGTGTGACCCGGTTCTGCCTTCTGGAGTTCCGGGGTCTTCCTGGCTTGCAGACTGATCTTTTTGGGTCTTGGCACGTGTTGTGGTCGTGCTGGGACTTTGAGGTTTTATTCTTGAGGTGGGCCTTTTGATGCAGTTTTGTACCTTCTTCGCCCGGCCGGCGTGGTGCTCTCTGCCCACTGGTCGGCGGCTTGTAATTTTCTTTTCACGTGTATGTGTACACATGTACATGTACATGTGTACACTATGTGTGTGTGCACATGTGTATGTGCATACGCATGTGTATGTAACATACCTTGTGTGTATGTGTATATGTATGTATGTGTATGTATATATACAAAATATATATATATATATGTGTATATGCGTATGCGTATGTATACTTTTTCTTTCGAAAGGGGCTCTGTTCCCTTCTCTGTTGATGGGGCGCTGGGGAAAGCAGTTTGCTCTGTTAACTCTCGCATGGTCCCCCAGCTAGTGGGCGCTTTTGGTTGTCTTCCGGCCTCTGGTGGCAGTGGTGGACGACTTCTCCCTCTTTGGGGGGTTCAGGGCAGGCGGGGTGGCTTCTTCCCCTGTGCTTCGTCATGTCATCTTAGTGGGTGCGTTGGACGTGGTCGATCCACCCCATCCTTCTGGGGTTCCCGTCTGCTCTATGCAGACATGGGCCTGTCGAATCTGCGGTTCTTCTGGACTTCTTCAGTCTGGCCCTGGATTCTATGTCCTCATCGGCATTGGAGGACTGTTGTCTCCTGTCCGGCTTCTGTTGGGGCCGGGTGCCTGGATGGTGGCCCTGGACCTCGAGGTCAATTCTTGGCACGTTCCTCTCCACTTTTCTGGGACTGGCACAGTTGGTGGTGGGGCTTCAGGCTTGCCGCTTTTGTTGCCTTCCCTATTTTGTAATTGGCACTTGGTGTATTTACGCATCTTTACTGGATCTTGGTGCCCTGTCTGAGTCTGCTTGGGATTCAGTGCCTGGCCTACCTCGACGACTGGCTGGTGTGGGCTCCTAGTCGGTCCGCTTGTCTGCTCGTCAGGGATGTGGTTCTTTCCAGATCGCCGGGTTTGGTTTCCTGGTGTTTAGGGCTCTTGGGCTGCTCCTTGTCTTTCCCTCCAGAAGTGTTGCTGCGGCTGTGGTCCCACCTTCGGCTGTGCATGAGGGGTCCCGGGTTGCTCAGCAGTTGCTCGAGCAGTTGTGCGGGAGTCTGAACTTCAACGTGCTAGTCTGCCCACGGGGTCGGGCTTGGCTTTGACGTCTGTTTGGTTCCTTCGGAGACTCCCCTTCCGCCTCTCTTGCAATCGTTGGGTTCGTTCTTCCAGGGATCTTGTGTTGGTGCTGCTTCACCAGCTTCCTCTTTGGGGTTTTCGGGGTTCCGTGCCTTGGCACCTCCCCGAGCCTTCGCTCGATGTGTTCACAGACGGGTCATCTCTTGGCTGGGGCTTTGTGACCAGTGCTCATCAGGTAGGCCGGGGATGGTGGGGTCTGTCCGTCCGTAGGGCTCACAGCATGGTTCGGGAGTTCGTGGCTGTCTGGTTTGCGCTTCGGAGGGTTTGGGTCACTCGGTGCTCTACCATTCGGCTCCATTTGGACTGTTCTCTGGCGGTTCTTTGCTGGAACCACAGGGTTTCTCTTAGGTGTTGACCTTTGGGGTTGGTTCCTTAGAGTGGCTCGTTTGCTGGATTCTCAGGGTTTGGCTAACAGTGAGGTTCATGTCCAGGGTGTGTCCTGCGTCCTGGCAGACAGCTGTCTCAGTTCATTCCTCTGTTCGCGGAGTGGCCAGTCATCGCCGACTCGTTTCATTGGCTCTGCCGGACGTATGGACTCCTGGCCATGGACGTCTTCAAGTCGGCGTGGTCTAGGCGTCGCCCATTCTATGTGGCACCTTTACCCGCCTGCGAGGCGTTCACGATGGATGCCTTTTGTCAGGACTGGTCGAGGTGGGGGTACCTGTTCCTCTTCTCCCGGTCCAGCTGTTGCTTCGGGTTCTGGCTCGTTGGAGCCCATTTCCACAAGAGTAGTCCTTATGGTCTCTTGGTGGCCGGCCCAGCTTTATTTTCAGACGCTGCTTGATAGGTGTCCGAACCCGGGGCATTTTTCCACGGCTCCGCCTCTTTCGGCAGGTCGGATCGATCCTGTTCGTGACTGTTCGGCCTTCTCCTCGGCTCTTCGCGTCTGGTATTTTGACGCGAGTATCACCATCTCTGTGGTGATCAGGTGGCTTTGTTGACGGTGCCCCACCTGCGAGCTTCGTCTTGGCAACAGTATGACGTTCCTGGTGTTTCTATGCACTTTTTCTTGCTCTTCGTAGGTTGTCTTCTGTTTTGCATCGTGTTGGACGTCACATCTGGCCTGTTTTATACGGTTTCTCGTGTTTTGTTTCACCTCCGGCCTGCTCATGCGTCGCCTGATCAGGCCGGATCCTGGTCCTTGATCAGGGTGCCTTCTTATCTTCTCCTCAGTTTGTGGTAGCCCCTTCGGTTCAGGTTTCTGCTCTTTGGTACTGGTGGTAGGTTTGTACGTTTCCAGCCTTTCTCCATCCTTCTGGCGACGGTTGAGACGGCTGCCGCAGAGTTTTTAAGTCTTCCAGCCTGCGGTCTGTCCTTGCGCCTGTGCTGTTCGGATGTTTGCAGCTTTTATTGCTGTGTTGGTGATGTCTAGGGCTCATTTCGGACGCAGGGATTTGAGGGTTGCACAGGTTCTTGGCCGCCCATTCTTTATGCGCGTCTGCTCCTGTGCATTCTTGTTGCCTTGGGTCGCAGGTTGCAGCCTGTTGTCTCGGCTTCGCGTAGCGGAGTTTGTGACGGCCACCTCCCGGGTTAGCCCTTTCTTTTCCTTCTCTTTGGGTATGAAGCTGCAGGGAGCCGTAGGGGCTGCCTACAGAAAACCAGCATTGAATGTAATGAAATGCCATTTTCTGGGTGAGCCCCGGAGGCTCCCTGGCAACCCTCCCTCCCACCTGTTGGCGGTTTTTTCACGTTGGTTGAAGCTTAGCTTCCGAACTGATGCTAGGTAGCCGGCGCAGTAGGTTTGGAGCTCCCCCCTCCCCCTCTCGGGGCGGGGAGGGCTGCTCGGACAATCGGCGCGGCAGTAAAGTGTGATGTTTGCTTGTTTGCTTGTTTCCTTGGGATTGTAGGGAGTTTCTGCCTCTCTGTTCATTTTTTTGTTTTAGTTTTTTACCACGTGGGGTTTGTTTTGTTATGCCTTCCTTTCTGGGTGCCTAACCCCGGTCGATGGCAGATAAGGAAAACCCCAACCACAAGGGGGTTTTCCAGGGCCATTGCTCCCTGAAACCTCTCTGAAGGGGCCAGGTTCTGGCACTGGTCCCTGGTAGGTCTGAACTCTTTAGCTAATGTCCCGGTCTAATATAACATACATTAGCCCGATAAGCTCCAGGGAGCCTCCGGGGCTCACCCAGAAAATGGCGTTTCATTACATTCAATGCTGGTTTTTTAAGGATATCAGGGAAGGTATGACACTCTAGGGATTTGTTGAACAGCAGAACTATGGGTGGCGCAAGGGCATGGGAGGCGCTCTTGTATACAATGGATGGGATTTCACTGATGTTCCCAGCTTTGGTTTTTAGTGAGTGTATGATGGACACAACATCTGTCGGGCTGACTGGTGAAAGGAGACGAGAGTGTGGATAGCTGCCTGAGAGATATGTGTTGATACGTGTCTGAGTCTGTGGGATTTTTCTGGCAAGGTTAGCACCAACCAATGATAAAGAAGCTATTAAATTCATTTGCCATTTCTAAATCAGTTGACGATGTATAGCCATCCTTAGAGAGTTTTATCTGGTTGTGGGAGTGTTGTTTTGTTCCTAGGATGTTAGAAATGGTTTTCCATGTGCTTTTATGTTGCCTTTTGCTTCTTTGAATCATTCTTCATCTCACAGTGCACAATCTTGTAATAGCAACGCAACATGGTTTGGTTATAAATAAATCCTGCCTTATTAACCTGCTCACTTTTTGGTGTTGGTATCCAATTTCAATTTTAAATTTTCCTGGTAGGCCATTCAGGACCCCTAAGGCTGATGTGATTCATCTGTTTGGAACTATCTCTGAAAATTAGCTTTAGGGAACCATTGAGGCCCTACCAAAAAGAGCCATTTCATTACATTCAATGCTCGTTATATATTACAATTAATTTTTAATTATGTATTAAAGATCCATTATATCGGTAAACTGTAATTATGTTGTACAAAAAATGCAACTGTAAAGTGTATAGTGGTTTATGATGTATATAACTAGATGATTAATCCCCAGGCTGCTCAACTCCCCCACCTGACGCAGGAGCTAATATGACGATGAGTAACTACACTTCCAATGCTATCAACTCGGTGGTCACGTACACCTGTAATCCCAGTCTCTATGTCCCTCCTGATAAGGTAACTACACCTTCTGTTTTCAGCTAGTTGTTCTTGCAGGGGTTGAGCTTCAGTTCTTTGAGCCTACCTCTCAACCATCAATCAACTGATGTACAGGTTCCTGAGCTTATTGAGCTCTTATCATATCTACATATGAAATTGTGCATGGAGTCAGCCTCTGCCACATTACTGCCTAATGCAAGTGTAAAACGCGGTAATGGTACTCTAAAGAAGACCTGATTAAGTATATATTGGCCAGAGTACATTTCAGTGTGTCACATTATGGACAGATTTTGGTCCTATTTATCACGACAAAATAATGATCATTGTTCAAAATATTGTTGACATGCAAAGTTATTTTTATTAAGAGTAAATTATCAGTTACCACCACATTTCCCAGCTTCATGGGATGGATCAACATTTGTCTGGGAAGGATGGAACAGTATGCCATAGAAAAAATAATGATATTCAGAGACAACTTTTAGTAAGAAACTATATATTGTATTGTTAGTGTACATACAATCACCAACAATCATAAATCAAATTACAATAGATGCTACTACAATGCATAAATTCATTGTGTGAAAGCTGAGTAAAAACACTGCATAAATGTATTGCAATGTATCCTATTCTGTATGAGGTATACATAGTATAGATCAAGAACCAGCTACAAGTTACTGAAGTAATTATGCCAATCATTGTATGGTATGATACAAATGTTTTTAAAAGTCAAACATTTATATTTCATATTATACTGTAAATAAAAAAAATCTGAATCATATATATCATTGCAAATGATTCCATACTGTACGTTTAACGTTTCCTTAAAAATGTCCACAGAATTATACGAAGGCCATGGCTACGGTGAATGTGACGTGCAGCAGCAATTCTCAGTGGGTGATTCTTGGCCCTGCCCTCTGGTGCACCTCTTGTAAGTCAATAGTCTCTGCGATGGCTTCATGTTTCCTCATATCCACTCAATTTAAGGACCTTTGGTTTAATGTTTTGCAGATTCTAACAGCTGGATTTGAGATCAGTAACTGGAGCCTTATTTACTGAGTCATTGACTGTTAAAGCCAGAATAAGGATGCTATTAAGTTGGAGTCTGACGCTTGCAAAACTGGAGACCGCTATTGGATTTGTTGTGGCACAAATTTGCCCTCACTAGGCTAGTGTTTTCCACATTGTTTTCATGGAGTGGGTGTGGAAATGTGCCAGTATTTCACAGAAGTGCTGTAAAAGGGAGAAGTGTGTGTGTGTGTATGTTTGTACTCAACTAGTTGTGCTTATGGGGTTGAGCTCTTTGGTCCTGGTTTCTCAACTGTTAGTGTGTGTGTATGTAATTGCCTAAGTGTAGTTACAGGATGAGAGCTACGCTTGTGGTGTCCCGTCTTCCCAGTACTCTTTGTCGTATAACGCTTTTAAATTACTGACGGTTTTGGCCTCCACCACCTTCTCACTTGTTCCAACTGTCTCCCACTCTGTTTGCGAAAGAAAACTTTCTAATATTTTCTGGGGGAGCCCCTTCGGCTCCCCGGAGCTATCTGGGATGATATGGAGTATTAGCTTTGGGCATCAGTCAATGTACATGGAGTTCTAGGCCTATTGGGGACCATGAGCCAGAACCTGGCTCCCCTCAGAGAGGCGCGAGGAGCAATGACCTATAGAGACACCTTATATATAATTTAGAAGTACTCTGTGTCTGCCATCGACCAGGTCAGGCACCCAGAAAGATAGGCACCTGAAAACATCCCCAATTTTGGTTAAGAATTGCTACCAAAGTTGAACAAGTGGATAGAACTTCCTATGAAGAAAACCGAGCAAACGAGCATGACGTCATCTCGTTACCAATGCGCCGCCATATACGCAAACCACCCCTCCCCGGGAGGGGAAAGGTGGAGCCTCAGACCCTCCACTGGCTACCCAAGCCTTCCAGTTCTTGGCTGATGTCGGTGGGCTTCGGTTGTGTACCTCCAGCTCTGGGTTTTCTTCTCTGTTCTTGCTTCGGTGGTGTGCGAGCTGGGACTGTTCTTGCTTCGGTGGTGTGCGAGCTGGGACTGTTCTTGCTTCGGTGGTGTGCGAGCTGGGACTGTTCTTGCTTCGGTGGTGTGCGAGCTGGGAGTATACAGTATTCACAGGTACTCGGGCTGCATGCGCTTAGGGTCCCCTTCTCTAAGCGCCCTGTAAGTACTGCCCTTGGGGCCTCCTTCCACAAGTCGCCTTGGCAGCTACCTCCGTTGTGTCAATTACTGCTTGGTACTTGTCCACCCTTGGAGTCAGCTGGGGGTTTTCTTGCTCCTCTGTTTCTGGGTAGGGGGGTAGCATTCGTCACTGGTGCGGACACAGGGTACTTACGCAGCTAGTTTTCACCTCTCATAGCAGCTGGCTCTGCATCCTTCAGGTACGCTGCCCTCTTGCATTTTTTTTTCTTTTTGTTCCTTGCCTTGGCAGGGGGTCTGCCCTTGGTTTGGTTATATACCCTCTGTATATATATTGGTGGTACCCCCGCTAGGCCCCACCCGTGCGTGAACACATCCCAGGGGTGCAGTCTTAGAAGTTTGTTTGGTAATATTAGGAGCCGGTTAGTGGTACCCTGCCTGGGCTTTCCTTAATGGTGATTGAAAAGCTAAGGGCCCTGGGAAACCCCACGGGGGAGCGTGGGTCCATTGGATGTGACCCCCGAGTCCCCACTCGCATTTTGCGAGTTTGATTGAGGGTTGCTGTGTCCCCTTGTCTCAGGGTGACTCTCTCGGTTTTGCCTCTGTCCAGCCGCCTGTTGGGTCGGTTACACCTTCAGCCCAGAGTCCTGCGAGTTGTTGCTTGCTTGTGACTGTTCATCCAATCCGCTGATGACTCTCTCCAGGTGCTGGCGGCTCTGGCATTGCATGTTTGGTATATTGCTGCAATGCGCTAAGTTGCTTGCTACCCCGGAAGCCCCGTGGCTACCCGGTTTTACTTATAGGGTCCCGGACTTAGGGGTGTGAGTCGTTTCGACCTTGGTTTGGTCCGCTGTCCCTAATTCTTCCCCCTGTTGTGGTGCTTTCTGGTCCCCCCTCCTGCTTCCGGCTATGAAGCATCTGAAGGCTTCGGGCTCATGGTGGGGTTTAGGTTGTTTTGAGACTCTGGCAGTCTCGGGGAATGTTCCTTCCGGGGTGTTGACAAAGGCATTCAAGTCGGTTCCTCCAGCCGTTGCGTATGGGTCTCACCAGTGGGCCCCCATTCCTTAGTGTTTTTACGGCTGCCCCAGTTTTTTCTTTAGAGGCCGGGGCTTTGTAGGTCGATTCGGCCTCGGGTCCTGGTATGGAGGTTCCCTGGGTTGGGGAGGGGCTGACTGGGGCCTTAGGCCCCATTATACCCTCTCCTGGGTTTTCCTAACCTCTGAATGGGGCTTCCTATTACGTGGAGTTGGGTTTTCTTCCCCCTACGTATGAGTCGGTTATTGGTGTCGGCCCCTCCCTGGGTTCGGTTCAGTATCTCTTCGGGTCTGTTGGTTCCGCCCTTCCTGTGGCACATTTTTACCCGCTTTAACCTTCGAGCCTACTTCACCTGGTTCCTATCTAGCCAATGGGCCCAGATGAGCCTCCATGGCTTTGCGCATGATTCTCAAGGGTCTGGCAGATTTCCTTCCTTAAAAAAAATAGAACATCTGTTGCTTCCAGTGGGGATTGCCGCCCATATTTCGGTACTCATTTTCCTTCTATACTACAGTGGCACCTCAACTTACGATTTCCCCAACTTACGATAATTTTGAGTTACAATGTAAATTTGGTCGAAAAATGCAACTCGACTTACGATAGTGTCGTCGACTAACGATATTTGTTGGTACACGTTTGGGTTGACTGAGCGCATGGCTCCAGGTCACACGGGCCGACTTGTCTCAGTTTACTAGAGCTGCCCGCTTAGTGACGATCACGCCAATAAGAAATTCCGTTTTTATGGTGATTTTTTGTTTTTTTAATATAAAACTGATTATTATATACTGTATCACGCCATGGGTCCCAAGAAAGTCAGTGGCAAGGTTCAACCTAAGAAAATAGTTGTGAGAAGAGGCAGTAGAGGATGTCCCTTCCTCATTAAGAAAATGTGTGAAGTACAGAAAGAACTGCAAAGTTTTGTTGAAAAAACTCAACCAGATAAAGCTGTAGCAGGCCATTGCATTGATCTTTAAATGACAATGTGATGTCTTACTACAGACAAGTAGGGAAAAAAAAGTGTCTTTAGACAGATTCTTAGTAAGACAAGCAAGCAGTGAGTCACAAGCAGGTCCTAGTAGTATGCAGGCAAAACATGCCAGAGAGTGTATCCCAGAAAAGTCATCACTGCCTGATGTTATAATGGAAAGGTAAACAGTACCAAACAGTACCAAACAACAGTACCCCTTACAAACAGTAACACCTCTCCTCCCCCCTCATCGCCATCTTCCATATGCCATTAAGAGTCCTCCATAAAGGTAAAATAAACATATGTACTGTATTTAAGTTAGAGAAAAAAATTGTATTTAGTATAAAATGTATTTGTAAGTTAATATTTTGGAGGGTGGGAAACGGATTAATTCAATTCCCTCTATTTCTTATGGGAAAAATCGCTTCGGCTTACGATATTTCGACTTACGATACGTCTCTGGGAACAGATTACCATCGTAAATCAAGGCCCCACTGTATATCTAATTCACTTATGATCACGTCTAATCAATAAATGGACATTGTGGGCTCCCCTCCCTAATTGCGGGGATGGACCACCCAGCTCAGACCTCCGGTGTCCTGAGAATGGGCCGAGGTGTTTGTTTTGTTTATGGACATTGTCAGCGAGTGTTGGTGTTAGGTGACCTTTATCACGGGACATACGCCGCATTACCTACTCTTATATCTGCAGTTATGGCTCCCTGGATACTGAGGAATTATGGACTGTATTTGTAGGGTACATTCCTTGTATTTTTATCTAATTAAGGGTGTGGCGTAGCTTGTACTAGCGCCACCTCTACCACTACTCTACTCTACTCTACTCTACTCCTTCTATTATCCTCCTGCAATCACATCTACCGTTATATTTACCTAGCCGTGCTGCCGGCATCTTACCAGGCAACACTGTGTCTAACCATGTACTGCCTTCGCTCTACGAGTGCTTATACAGTCTGGCTATGCCGTCAGTCAGGCTCTGGTTCTCGTCTTTTGGATGAGTGTTGGGTTTTGTTTATTTTTTGTTGATTGGCTACTTTGTGTATTCACCTAGTTGTGCTTGTGGGGTTAAGCTCTAGCTCTTTGGTCCTGCCTCTCAACTGTCAATCAACTGATGTACAGATTCCTGAGCCTACTGTGCTCTATCATATCTACATTTGAAACTGTGTATGGACTCAGCCTCCACCACATCACTGCCTAATGTATTCCATCTGTTAACTGCCCTGACACTGATAAAGTTTTTTCTAACATCCCTGTGGCTCATTTGGGTACACAGTCTCCAGCTGTGTCTTCTTATTCGCGTACCACCCGTGTTACACAGTTTATCCTTATCTACCCTGTCAATTTCTCTGGGAATTTTGTGAGTAGTGATCATGTCTTCCCTTACTCTTGTCTTCATGTCGTGAAGTGCATTTCCAGCAGCCTTTCTTCATAACTCATGCCTCTTAGTTCTGGGAGTAGCCTCGTGGCATACTTCTGAACTTTTTCCAGCTTTGTCTTGTGCTTGACAAGGTACAGGCCCCATGCTGGAGCCGCGTACTCCAGGATTGGTCTTACATATGTGGATATTGCAGTGCAGTACATTAGGGGTTAAGAGTGTACTTAGCACTGATGATTACATTCTTGCAGGGCCACTGGCGCGTGGCGTTTCGGGCAAGTCCTTGATCTTCCAGATAATTTTAGGTGGGTGATTTCCTGCGATATTGACGAACGACTGTATCTTTTCTGGACTCTGGACACTCGTTCCTTACCAGTC